ACAGAAACCTTAGAAATTTCTTAGACACTGTTGGTGTGCTGGACTAATTTCAAGCTTAAATTTGGAATAGTTGGCACAGCAAGTTTCACATTGCCTTTTAAATTGCAGTCAGCTATCTTTTCCACTTGAACATATTAAACAATACCTATTTACAATATTTACATCTTGGAGGTACATTGTGGTTTTACAAATTCCCTTATTTTTCATCTAGAAAAAATGACTGCTCAACAAAGAGGAAGATTTCTCCTTAAGCAGTTTCTGAATCCACTCTTGAGAAAGAAAATGCTGTTGTTCTTTAGTGAAGAGTCATCTGAGACACTCTGCTTTCTGTGAGGTCAAAACTCCTTATGAGCTCACTGCAGCCTCCTCCTGACACAGCATCATAGTAATGCTGCTGGTGGGATTCTCTCAAGTATTTGTGTGTTTTAAGCTGACAAAGGGGTGGAGTCAGTAATCTGAAAGAATACGATGGCACCATGTCAACATTTGGGTTCAGTCCTGTAAGTAAAACCTGCTGCACTGCATATAGAAATCCAAGGTCTCTCAAAAAAAATGACCTTTAAGTAGGTTTATTTCACTGATATACCTGTTAAACATTCTATCAAATGCTTTTCATGTTTTTTTCTTTAGAAAAGCAGAATGAGAAATTTGCACTACATTATTAAAAATACTTTGTGGAAGAAATGTGATAGGCAGAAAATATTGATTAGCTCCAGGATGCTATGTATTTTCAGAGTAGATCTGAGCTTGGATTTCCTTTGAAACCCTTTTTAATTTTAAAGCTCTGTGTCTCAGTTTGAATACAGGGCTGTGAGTAGGGCCCATTCTGTGCTCTATGGTCCATCTTGCCAGGTGCCTTATGCAAGTGGGATCTCTTTCCCTTCAGTTCACATGTGCTTTGTTGAATAGTTTCACTTTCTATGAAGAGTAACACTTTCAGTAGACATGTGGGCTTCACTGTGTTGGCCTCACTGGAGGTACTGAAGTCATTAAAAAATACTTTTGCTGTTCAAACAGAACCCAAAAATAGTTCTGCAGTAGATGTTGTATTTCATGTACAGGGTAGTAAAATAAATGGTGTCTATCCCTGAAAGTTTACAGCATGGTAAAGTGCCATGTTAGCTGATTCAGAAAATAAATAACTTGTTCTTTTCTGGTTGCTTTTGCATAAGCATAGATCCTCTAAGAGGACCTTCACCTGGACTGAAGAGTAGCATCAATGGGGCTGACCAGACTGCCCAATTTGAGTGACCCTACATCAGTAGGTGTAGGGCTAGAATAAGCATTGTCTCAACAGCTAGCTTAGTTAGAGCACTCAAATGGAGTTCCTGATTTTCCTTGGCAGATAGTTGAAGAACTCAATTTTCTGCTGATATTTTAAAGAAAGCATACAGTAGATAAATATCAGATTGCTAGTAGCCTGGACAAAACCTATATATTACTACTGAAAAAACCTTCATTATCCATCTTGTCCATATAGTCTAATGGAAGTGACAGTTTCTAGAACTATTTTTTTTAATCCATGGGACACTGTGTGTCACAAGATAATCAACAGGTGAAGCCAGTGGCTGTCCTGGACCTTTGGAAGTCCATGAGATCCACAGAAGTGACTAAGACAAGTAAACCCTGCTGAACGAAGCAAGTATATATATGAAAACTGTATCTGCTGAACAGAGTCATACACATTGGAAAACGTTGAAAACTGAAGGGCAAAGGTACAACTCCACAGCTGAAAAGAGAACATAGAAGAGGAAAGCTTGAGGTTTTTATTGACTCAACTAAACAACCACACCCAGGAATGCACCCCAGAGAGCAATCCTAGGAGACAGATAGAATTCCATTTTCCATTTCTAATTTGTTTGATTCCATACATTTCCATGGCCTTTAAATAGAACAGGACTCCTATCAATCTTTTTATCTGTTCTGCTGGCACACACAATGACAGTCCTATATGCAGATGAAGCCATAAGGGTTTTCCTGACTTTTTTCCCTAAAAATAATGTGTCCGAACTGCTTTTGGATTCACTGCTTCTTCACTTCATCATTCTGCTACCTCTTTGCTGATTACCTTGCATGACTTCTCTCCTACCTGCAAGATATATGCTTTACTTTATAATGTTTCTTATGCACTAAAAAAAATACTAAGTCAAGCAGTTACCAGAGCTGGAAGGTCTAGCCTTCCTCCAACTGGCATAGCCATCATGTAAACTTTAAGTATGATTTATTGTTATGGAGCTTGTAGTACCTTGGCTGTTTGCCCAGCATGTCCTTGATAAGTCAGGGTCACAAAAAGTGAATAATACTCTGGTCCTACTCAATAAGACACATGATCATCATGATGGAGATGCCCTTACCATTCAAAAATCCTTTAAATTTGGCACTCCAAATTATATGAAAAAATGGTTTCGATTGCTTTCCATGATTAACTGCTATTAAACTTTATTCTTAATCTTGCTCTTCAAGACTGCTATTGATTCCCAGTTGCTTGGATGCTAAGAATATTCTTGGATAATATTTTTGGAATTTAGGACACTAACAAGTTTCTGAAATGAATGGGATTTTCTAGATAGTAAACAAAATACATCAAGATAGATTTGTCCATGCACAAATAGCTTAATACCTGTCTCTGAGATGGGAGCAATGCCAAGCAATGCATTTTGGCTGCGCAGTCTTGTGCAGTCATGTCCCCAGTGGAATTACATTCTTCTGGTGTGGGATGGTTTGTTATCCCTGTGTATGACCCTTTTATAATATTTCCTAGTGAGCTGTTTGACACCAAGCTGGCTTTCCCAGATTTCTACATCTAGATAATGGTCCCTTTAAATGTTTTCACAATCACACCATGATTGGTTCAGGCCAGTGTCACAGGTAACTGCTGAAGCAAACACCAATGAATCCACAAGCAATTCCTGTATCACAGGTGGTCAACCACAAGGGACTCCAAGTGAAGACTCATTTTTCAAGCAGAAGCAAAAGCATAAGCCCCCACAAAACCTGAATAAAAAAATCTCTTTCATTTGTTTTTAACTGGGTAGTTTGGGGGGAAAAAAGTCCCAAGAGGCAAATCTAAAGAATTTGCAGGAACAGTGACTGAAGTGAGAAGATAAAATTTGGAGTAAAGTAGCCTTTTCATAGATAAATTAATTTCTCTTTTGTGTTTAGAAGCTAGGAACACAGACATAAAACACAAACATACATTTTTTGTGTGTTAGGTGGTGGCAACGGATAAGGAATACTTGCTGTATTTTGATTGACCTGCCCTGGCACGAGCAGTACATGACATAAAGGCCTGCACCGCAGTCTCAGGATGTGAACTTCTGTTATGTGTCTCTGGTAAATAGACTTTTACACCTAATTATCACGGAGTGTGTTGCCTATTTGTGTGCTCCTTGCTGTCTGGTTATTGCTTGTGCTCAGTATCTCCCTCATTAATTTTATCCTTCTTCCGTCCTGTACCTCACTAATCAGAGATAAGTAACATTTATCAGTAATCCTTTTCCTCCTCAGAACTCTCTTAGGTAAAGCTGTATGGGTGTTTGAGAACAGGAAGAGTTTGCATTTTGAAAACAAGGGCTGTCTTTTCTAGACACTCATGCAGAAGAAGCTAAAGCTAGGAAAGTGGCATGATTAGTCCATCTGTGACCTATCCATTTTCTCATTCCCACTGCTGAAGCCAGGGTACTTACACCTTTGTCAGCACAATAAATATCCAACATTTTCACAAATGCTATCCATCCTCTAGGAAGTTTCCATTGCAGGTGATACTATGCAATCTTAACCACCTAAATTACGTTGCCTTCATTTGAGGTATTTCCACAAAACAGAGTGCAGCTGTGATGGGATGTGACTTAGGTCAGAGTACTGAGGTGAATGAAAAGCTGTGATGATGACATTGCACTTACTCTTTCCGCTTGCCACTTCTGAATAGTGCACTCATATTGTTTGCCAGCTTTCAGAAAAGAAGTGGGTTTTGTGAATGCCTACCATGCACATAAACAGACCCTACGAGATTTGGCAGGCAGGAGCAAGTGATGATAGGTTGTTATCAAATTATTTCTTGGTATTTTATACCAACAAGGATCATACAGATTTGTTGGAAGACAGATACAATAAATATAAAATGTATTCTAGACAAGATCTTCATTAAGAGTACCCAAGTTTACTAACCCTGATGCCCAATCACAATCCCTGGTAATTTTGACCTATTATTTGTAGCCTCTCAGCTTAGTGATAATGAAAACAAAGCAGCCTTAGCCAGCCATTTATGAGAAGGAAATTGTTAGAACAGCATGTCTCAATAAAGCAATGGGTTCTGCTGTTGTTTTTGTGTATGATACAACTGGACATCCCAGACATTCCCAGTCAAGGAAACCCAGCTCTAGGTGAAGACAAAAGAAGACATGGGCAATGAGATAAAGCTTACCAGGACCACGTGTACCTACAGCTTTCTGGCTAAAGGGAGCCCAAAACCAGCTCAGGATACTTTAATTTTCAATCAGAGCTTGACCTTTCTGTCTGAAGTAGGCCTCCAGACTATGTTTGGAAAATTGTCTGGAACATACTGAGAACATTCTGTGTTTCTGAGCAGGTTTCTTCTGGTTAAGACTCCTCCCAGTTTTCATATGCAGATATTTAAGTCTGAGAGTTTTTCACTCGGAATAGAATCTGCACAAAAGAGTGATATTTGGAACATAAGCAGCTTATCAGGAAGTAACAACTTGAATTGCAAATGCATCCCCAGCAGGTGATCTGCTAGGGGTGTTTTCTACCATCCTCTCAAAACTGTAGGTTTTTGCTCTTCTGTCATGTGATGCTCTAAGAAATGAGGCTACACACATTCATTTAATAATATAGTTCCCTTGTGATATGTTCACTTTCCCTAATGAGGGCAGTGTTGCTAACTTGTTAGAGCCTGAGGACTGTATGAAATTAACATAGCATAGAGGAAAAAATAGCAGAGAGAGGAGCTCCTTGTGTGAAATGTAATGAGGTCACCGATGGTCCTTTTGTCAATCTTTATTTTTGTACTAGAGACAAAATGTTAACAAGGATGATATAGAACACTATTACTCATAACTGGAATTGCCCTTTCAATAACCTGAATGACCAAAAGTAATTAAACCTTCACAGTACTGATTATATAATAAAGCAGGCACAATACAGGTATTTAACGGTGAGAAAAAGGGGAAGGAGCATGGATGTTGGTAAAATCACAGGGAGAAATTACAATGAATAGACAAATATTCTAGTTCTCCATGACAAATTTTTGTTTCACATATGTTTACATGGGTGAATCTAAAGTCCTACTATAGTCTTAGTAGGATAATGCTGTGCTTCCACTAATAATCAAGAGACCAGAATGAAGCTCTTTCCATATTTCATCTAAAGTAAAACTGTCAAGGGCCAGAGAAGGCAACAAAGGAATGCAGAGGAGAGAAAGTCAGGATTCATGAAGTAAGGGGAATTTCAGCAGAGACAGCCACACTACATTTTTGTTTAAAATTTTCCTTTGCAAAACACAGCTGATAAAATACACCGTCTCTGCAGTGATTTTTGTCAGCCATACACGTCACTCTTGTACAAGCTCAACAGATACACAGAGAAGTCAGCAAACTGGGAGGGTATGTGAAATATAGATCCCATGTAAAATTTTTAACATCAGTTTGCTGCAGTTTTGGCCTTTTAGTGATTCTGCCTTGCTTGTGCAGTGATAGTTCCTAAGACGGGCTGTAAGCACTGCTTGCAGGATGTCTGTTCTGCAGTGTCAGTGGGGGCAAGGTGCTGCTTCCACAAAACATTGATTTGTGGTTTCCCTGTGCAAAGCGGGTGACCCATTGCTAAAAGAGCAAGGAGCTGTATCAGTCTATCTGCATAATGATCAGACATTCTTTTAGGTAATGATTATTGCCTTTTTTTTTTCCTGGCAGAGACTTCCTCTTCACTTCTGTGATTCTTGAATGCTGGCAATGCTGGAGGTAGAATACCCCCATATCCTCTTGCTTCAGAGCCATGTTCAGAGGTATCTTTCTATGCCTAATGGATGTTATTACAACAAGAAGAGCTAGTGAGGGACTGAGCCATTCCACAGAAGCCTGCTAATTAACTTTAGGACACACCTGCTTGTATCTTTTAGTGATAAACGTTTCTATCAAAAAGATACCCACAATCAGCAAACCAGCTCGCTTCCTCTCTGGCTCTAGGCACAGAAGCTGTTCAATGTCTCTGAATCCAGAAAAGAAGCCCTGACTGGCAGCATTTTTCTACCACTGTAGTCATGGGTTAGATATGGAAAGTGTTTTGTGGCAACCCAGGTTGGGCTGGCTTTGGCAAGGTCAGCATGTGGGCATCGTTTCCCAGAGGACACTGCCATCTGCTGCTGGTGGCACTGGGGACCTTCAATGCACCTCACCAGCAAATGGCTATGGAACACTTGTGGTCAAACCTCACTTGCTTAAAGATAGCTCACAGTCATGGGCCAGATGGACTTGTCTGGTTTCTTACATTTCCAAAAACAGAATATATAAATACAAACATAAAGACTTACAAGTCACATCCTAAACTAAACAGAGGTTTAGGGAATGCAGCTTCTGTGGGGAAAGATGCTAATTAGTGACACCTGCTCCAGTGCCCAGCAACAGACGGGTCTTACTGTAAATGAGTGGTTGGTCTGGAAAGACAATGCTCTGGGGAACCTGCAGGAGTTAGGCAGATTTAGTTACATCAATTGGTAATAATCTGTGGACAATAAACACAGAAGCTGAGATTTGTCAGCTAATAATGCAGACAAAATGATAATAGGATGTGCTTTGGAAAAATTACTGCAAGGTTGTATCTTATATTGTGGGGTTTTTTAACCATACTACAGTAAAGTAATACAAATCCTTCTCTTGGCAACACTGGAAGAGAATTGGACAGCATTCTCTTCCCCAAAGCTGGAAATATTTTGTTGAAAAATCTCTGGTTAGCACTCTTGAAATTTTCAAGCACTATCTTGACATTTGCTAAGAAAAGCAGACATTTCATACTTTTTTTTTCCTATTCTCTGGATTCTTCATTTTCTATCACAACAAAACTCCCCATCTGTTATCTGTAGTAGCCAAGCCTGGTGGACATATTTCTGGGATATTGGATCCTGGATTCAAAAGCAGAGTACAGGTTAAAATAGCCCTTCTCTGTTTCAGTGAATGCCCTGCACCCTCTGGGGTTGGCTGTGACAACACAGAGGCTCTTACCTTGGCATTCCTTTTTGAGTGGCTCAGTTGGAGAGTCCCTGCTAAATGGGCTGAAATATTTCCTTTCCTCTGGCACTCCACTGAGCTTCCAGCTTTGCATGAGGATCCCAGGCAATTCCCTGAAGGCTGCAGGCTCTCCCAAATGTTGGAAAACAGACAACTGGGCCCATTTCTGTACAGTCAGCTCCAAAGGATTAAGGTGGTTGGTAAGAAAGAAACCTTGTAAATAGACTTTAGTTATGTACAATCTGTGATGAAATCTCTCAGGAGTCTAAATTAAGGAGGATAATTGTCACCACCAATCAATTCTGGAAGTTGAAAATGCAAAAAAGTAACACTCTGGTCTCCTCTGTAGGAATAGCACCCCATCCTTATCTTTCTTTTCCCTTTCCCTTTCAAATTTTTGGAGGATTTGGGCACCTTCTGTCTTCAGTAATCTGAGTGCACCTAAGAGACAGGGCCAAACTTCTCTGTCCCTACATGCTTGCACCAATTAAACTCTTTAGCTTGTTCCAGGCTGTTGTAGATGGTTTCCTGATCATGACATTTCACCAGCTTTTGAGGCCCTGTATTTTCTAGCAAATCCCAGTGTGGCAGTTTAGGGAAGGAAAGCAGAGGATAAGGAAGCCATCCAATTTTCTGTAGTGGGATTTCAGAACTTTTAAATCTCATAGGCATCCTGCTAAAGCCAATAACACAGAGAAGTCTACAGATTCAGGCAGTAAGGAAAATTGTGAGATGAGGACTGTGGCTGACAGAAGGGCTGCACAGGCCTAAGCAAGACCCCGAAAACATGCTCCAAAGATCCAGGGAGTAATGGTGCTCTGTACCCAAGGGTACTTGTCATGAATGAATGTTTTAAGGTCGATTAAAGAATTAGCAGAGCCAGCAAGTGAAGCCTGGGAAGTTGCCACTCCTCTTTATCTTTTCCTTCTTCCAAAAACATAGCTATCAAATCACAAGTCCTTATATTATATGGGATGATAATTTTTACGATTATTGAAATACTTGACATTAAGTTCCTTTGCTGATGTAACTTTTTTTATTTTTGAGGGGAAATTGTATTTTTCATGGGAGTCTCTTGCTGGGTTCTCTAAACGGTTTTTAAGAAACGGTCAATATAAATACAATACTCAGGCAAAGGCTCAGGCCCAAGCTGCTGGAGGTCAGCACCACATCTCCACCTGGGAAGTACTTCTTATCAACATAGTCTATGATAGTTGTCACAGCCAACATAGTCTCCTCACACGTGGGCTGGATTTGGTTAGGAGGGAGAACAAATCCATAAGTACCCGTGTCTCGCAGTTCAAATGTGTAAGACAGCGGAATGCCAATAGTGTGGGCCCAGTCCCGTGAGGAGCCTGAGTTACTGTCTGTGAATTTAAAAATAGAGAGGAGATATTTGTATTAAGCATGGTTCTTTGAAAATACTTCTCGTTATAGTTAATACAAGTTTATACCAGAATCCCTGAACTAAGCAGTAACCATATATCACTGTGACACAGAGAACAGTTTCTAGGTGCTGTAATTCTTAGCTATACTAAAAGTCTCCCCTGGAGTTTCCTAACTGACACAGTTCTTCATAACATGGTATTGTACTATAACAGGAGATGAGTTTCAGGGATTCTGTGTTTTTAGCATTTTACTGTGACTAGTGTGGGGTACAGGATGGACTGGACATTTATCTGTTCTTGTACTTCATTTTCTACATGAAAATCTGAAAAATTTCTGGCTTCTCCCTCCATCTCTGTTCATCTTCCTTGTGGATTGTTTTTCTTATGTATTCAGTATAGGTACAAACCCTGGCAAAATGCAGCCCTAAGCACAGGCAGGTTGCATTACACTTACAGCACATTGCTCATGCAGCCTGTGACTCAGGGACTGGCGCTTGGGGACGGGTAGAGACAGGCACTGGAATATGCAAACTGCATGGGTTCTGGAGCCAACTACTTACTGTTCTCACTGACTAGCGTGACTTATTGCTTACTGGGAAAATATTGGGTTTACTAGGCAGTCTCTATGGCCCTCAATCCTCTTTGCAAAGGCTGTCAACTCATATTAGCTATGATGTGTTCGTGATGTGGCCATCCAGTCTATTAGGAACAGGGCTGAAACCGATATATTTCACACAGAATTGCAAGCAGCTGCCATGTGATAATGGCTGATGGAGTAACTGTAGACCTGATTGGGATTTTAATTCTTGCTTGATTCCAGTGAAGACAAGTAGGAGTTTTGTTGCTGACTTCAGCAGGATCAGGATGATCTATCACCAGTCTCCTTCTGTCCCCTGTGATGGATCTGTGAGGAATCCATGTAGGAACTAGCTTCTGATCAATGCTTTGTTCATTCTTGCAGTAAGCATTATAACTTACAGAGTTATCTTGTATTCAAATGACTGCTGCTGACATGTTGCACCAAACTAGCCCTTTAAATATTACTCAAAGTAGAAACTCAGCAAAACAGTACTTGCTAATGGATGTGACACAACAGTTCTTTGAAACACAGAGCATTCAAAGCGAAACATGAAAAAACTTACATAGAATTAAAGCAGTTGATCCTACTCTATAGCTGGTCCCATACTTTGCTGTCAATGCAGCAGCTGCTTCCTTTGCAACTTGCATCTGGAAATTCAGAATAGGAACAGCATTGGTATCAGTGGCAGTACCTTTGGCAATTACTTGAAGTGGACCAAAATTTTTGTCTCTTTCAGCTCTACATTTACATATGATCAGCTTTAAGTTTTGATATTCCTTCAGGTCTTTAGAGGAACCCATTAGAAACATTTGGACGAATTGTTCTTGATTATTTGTAATGCAAATTGTGTTAAAATTTTAGAGATTACTCTGCTACTAGGTGGAGATGTTATTTGCTTTACTGTAAAGCTAGAGCCAGTATTTTGGAGAATATTTTGGAGTCTGTGCTGTATAACACACTGGTACTGACTGCAGCAATGATTGACCTCTTACTCGTTTTATTGCCATAGACTCTGTAGCCCACCATCCTTAGAAACTGATCCATAAACAAAGTAAATGACTTCTTCAATGACTCATATGAAGTCCAAACCCATATCCCTCACTGTCTTGACTAGTGCTCCAGCTCCTGGAATCTTCATAAATACACACATTAAGTGAACTTAAATCAGAACACTCAGAAACTGAGGGAAGAAGTAACCAAGAAACAGGTGCTTACTTTGCTCCCATTTCTCTGAGAGCATGTTTGGACCCTTGCTGGACACAATCATGATAACCATATGTGTATAATATGTTGGCATCCTAAAGTGCAAATTCATTCTTGTATGCAGCAGAAGTTGGCATTCTTCTCCACTTACCTTGCTGTGCATTAACCCTATCTGTAGTAGTTCAGTTTTCCTGTTTTAAGATGAAGAATTAGGATTTCTGAGGCAAATAAACCTTACTGATGCTGAACAGAGAAGCAGTAACTCTGGGATCCAAGTCCCTGAACAAGCCCAGCTTCTCTGAAGGAAAGGCAAGAGTGCAAGTAAAGTTGCACCACATGCTACTGCTTGTACTTGCTTTCTAGAAAAGTAGAAGATTAATGTTTTGCCCTACCAGTTCTTCGTTGTTACTTGGAGGTTTAGTTGTGGAACCATATGGAGTGAGGATGAGCTGTCCATAGGAGTGAATTGTTAAATAACACAAAATGTCGCTCTTCTTGCTTTTGATAAACTGAGCCACAGCTCTTGTCTCAGGCTCTGATTCTGGCCCAGATCCACAGAAGACCTCACTGCTGCAGTTAAAAGATACACCAACACCTGGGGAGTAATACAAACGCTGAATCAATGGAGAAATATAGAACACTGGTTCAGAGGGAACTGGGAAATTTACGTTGTGGTGTTAAGGCATGTGTTTCTGTGGGTAGGGGACTAGACAGCTCAGTGGGACTTTAGCATTGCATTCAGTAGGTAGCAACTAAGATTTGGTACAAGACTGAAATATTTATTGCACATTTACATGATGTCTGCAATGAAAACACTCTGACACCATCACAGTGCACCACACACCAGGAAAGCTTCAGAGGCTCCTTGAAACTCATGGCAAATGTAAATACTGACTGTTAAGTGACTAACTCCTAACATGCCTGCCTAGAGCTGATGCTTGCTCCTGTAGTGAGTTAGAGGTATAGTTAGATAAGAGAAATTTTCTGCTCACAAAAATAAGTACTGGTTGAAAGTCAATGAGTTATTATTCTGAAAAACCAGGATTTTATTTTTACATATGCCTTGATGACAACACAAAGAATATTCCTTTCTTATAGGACTATATTTTATTTCAGAAACTAGTTATTACTCTTGCTTTATGTTTGTGTTCATGATATGAACTACTTCAAACTTACTGCCCCAGGATGAATTGAAGTTTCGGTTCAGATCTGTGCCATAGCAGGTGCCATTCCCATATGGAGAACGGTTTTTCCTCCACAAACGCTCCTGAAGAAAAGTAACTTCCGTTACATAATAAAAGCTCAGTGATAGATATGGCCCAGTGGTTATATTAGTAGTATTTACACTACTTTATTTTTGATCTCTGCATTCTAACTAACCCTGGTATTGTAAGAATACAACTCCATGTGCAAGGTGATAAAACTCAGTGACAGAATGGTTCATCTACTACAGCCAGGTTGTCATCACAAACCTGTGTGCACCTGAAATAAGCCTTCTGACCCTCTTTACTTTTTTTTTAAATGCTTTTTCTGTAGTTCTCAACTGCTTTTGTGCAGTGTGGCACTCTAAGCAAAACTTGGCATTGTGAGCAATAAGAGACAATAGTATATTTGAAATTCAGGAAGACTAATTAAATTTTTGTTAGCTGATCTTACTACTCCTCCTTAGTTCCCTGCTATACTCATGGCTATATGTGGTTCTCTGCAGACCTCACTGTGCTGCCTGTGTGAGCTTCCCAGCTGAATTATCTGTGCATCCAAGTGCAGTGTTTGATACACCCCACACCTGCTGGGGAGCAAGCTGGGAGGCAGCCCAGTCCACATGGTGGTAGCCATGGGCCACCCAAAGGTCCTGCATTAAAAAGATGCTTCTGCTGGGCACAGGGGCCTGGAAGCATGGTGAGAATGGCTGAAGACCAATATTTTGAATTATTCTCCATATCAGAAAAGGATGATTATTTGGGAAGGCACACCTATTTCATAGCCAAATAGCCTGATATTTGACCAAGTCTCCTCCTGTCCTGTGCAAAGGTGCTAAAACCCATCTGCTACTTGGCATCTTTTATGAGGAATGAATGACTCTTCCAGACATACTTAAGTCCATTAACCAGGCCTTGAGCTGTTATCAAAGAAGTAATCCCATCCCCAGAAACCCAAAAACAATTGTGGTTTTGTCTTTGCAAGTCTCATGACATTCGCTAGGAATATTTAGCTCTGCTGTCTCAAGTGATCACTGATTTGCCAGAAGAAACAAAATCTCTCTGCCATGAGAGGATTTAGTGAGTATAGCTGTTTTTTGTTTAAGTATAATTTTAAGTATAATTTTAAGTATAATTGCTATGACCCTCTCTAAAATAACAATACATGCTGGGCACATCTAACTTTCAGCCTAGTTCCTGGATTTTCACTACTTACTTTTTCCCAGGAATAGATGTAGCCATCAATATTGAGAACTGGCAAGACATAGAGGTCTAAATTCTGCAGAAATCTATTTATCTTTGGGTCAGTTTTGTAATTTTGAAGAATCTGAAAAGAAAAAATACAGAGCACTGGGCAGAGAATTTAGTGGTAATCACTGAAAAGAGCTAGTTTAGAACTATCATCAAGTGATCACTCACTCCTGGATATCACCATGGAACCCAACATCTACTTGATCTCCAGTGGGCCAGGTACTTTCTATACACATGGAACATTGCTATATCATAGATTAGGGTTTCTTTATTTCAGGAGGACTGTGATTTTTGGTGCAGAGAGGCTTGATCCAACAGCACTGTGGGAAAAGAAGAGGATTTACCAAGTTCTGGAAGGCTTTGGAAATATTCAGGTGGACAAACTGGCGCATCAATATTGTCCCATATTTCAAACCATGATTTGGACTTTGGTCTCCACAGACATCTGTACTGTAATTTTTCAAATCACATTTTAACAGAAAAGCATAATTCTTGGTACCACAATAGGAAAGAGAACTGAAGTGATATGGTTTTCTTATTATTTAAATGGAAGAGTAAGGACTCACTTCTTTTACAAACCACTGACAGAAGGCTGGAGAGATCCATTCTCTGGCATGAATCCCACAGTCCATCCAAATTATCTTTTTGGGTTCATTTGATGGTTGGCTGATCTGAGAGAACGTAAATATGATAATTTGAAAACTGTTACATTACAATAAAATAGCTTAATGTAATACAAAAAAGTAAAAGATGTGCCTTGATATGCCATTGAGCCATCTAAAGTACTATTATTATTATTATTATTATTATTATTATTATTATTATTATTACTACTACTACTACTACTACATCATACATCTTTATGACCAGCTCTTTTTCCAAATAACCCCATCTCTATAATATCACAAGGCATGAGTTTTAAAGCATTTCTTGAGCAGGAGTGTCAATAGAACAGTTAATAGAACAGTTCAATTTTTTCCTTTTTCATTTGTATTCTTCATTCACAGGAGTGCTTGCTCCTAGTTGAAGATTTTTAAATTATTTTTTTAGAAAGGGAATAACAAAAAGGTAGGGAATCTACCTACTCAGTGATAGGAACAAATTAGACAATAACTAACCCAAATATTAAGACTATGGGTTTTGCCAGTGTGTCCAATTTAAAAAAAAGTCATGGAATATTGCTAGCAGAAAGGCTATCTGCTGTAAAAAGTAATAAAAATAACAAACCAAAAGTCTTTATCCTCACACACCGCTGTTGCCAAGCTAGTTTTAGATTGATTTGTATTTCTAAACAAGGCTTCAGTTAAATTTGTTTTTTTCAGTACATAATAGCAATAGCAAGCTCATAATGATAGTGTCTGTGAGAGTTGGCAAATCTTACCATAATGTGGAGGAGTAAAACCATCTTCTGTTCAGTGAATTGGGATGAATGCTATCTTAGGAAACATCTGAATCCTGCCTTCTCCTGAGTACTTTTTTTGTTAAGATATATTCTATTATTAAGGGAAATTTCCTCCCTTACCTGTAGGTAATACATTGCTCGATTCTCAAATGTCTTCCCCAGGAAGTGCTGAGTCACCAGCTCACTGTTGTTCTTCTGAATCTGAGTCATCCACTGATAAATCTGAAATAGTTGCAAAGAATTCTTGGTCCAAAGTAGGAGTTTCCTTCTCTTCCCCACTTCCATTTCCAGCTTAAAGCATTTTCTTTTTTTTGGACAAGCAATATTTCCCTCAGAATTTATTTCAGTCTGTCATTCACTTACAGGCATGGAAGGTGTTTCACATGCCTCTGTGCAAAGGCATGGCCATATGTCACTGGGTGTTAAAAGAGAACATTTCTGCAATATAGCAATGGATACTCCATTCTGGATCTCATTCAACACGCCCATCCTATTGGGCATCATCTTGTTGAGTGCACCAGACAAGAAGCTACATCATCAACTCTTCAAAATAGTATTGCAGTCTCTTCCCTGTTAGCACTGATTTTCCACATCTGAGTCAGCAGCAGTCATCCTCAATGGGTAGCTCAAGAAAAACATATGTGAGGGTTGTCTCTGTTCTCTCACTTTTATTATGCAGCTAGGAGAAAGAATCACCACTATGCTCTGCTTTTCTCCAGGTTTGCCAACTGGTGCATGAAACATGGCACTAAGAAACCATCACTGCCTACCCCATGACATTATTTTCTCCTAAAGAGTCAAAAACCTGCCCTGAAATGACATCTTTCTAAAGATCTTACACTGTTCACCTCTTCTTCCTCAGTGGAATTCCAAACACCACAATAGTCATTTGACTCAGCATCAAACAAACTGGGACTTAATAAATACTAAAGAATGACAAGGTAGGTAGAAAGGTAGCAAAGCAAATGAACCACAGAATATTATCTGCAAAACAGTGCAGCTATTTCACACAAAGAATTTATATTTTGTTCAGTAAAGAATTGAGGATTTAATCAAAATCAATGGCAAATCCATATTCAATTCAACTAGGCTAGGATTTAAGTCAAAGAGTAAGGACTGATTCTTTAAAGAAGAAAGTCAGAAAGAGGTCCACCTCATTAAAGAGGTTTGACTTCAGCTGAGCTTTCTGCAAACACAGAGTTGCCTGCTGTGACATTTACAGAACAGAAAACAGCAAAGTACACAAGCAGACTTAGGTTCCTCTTTACCTCTTCCATTGGATGGTACTCGGTGTAGGCATAACCTCCTGAGACCTGTCTATGGCTGCTCCTCTCCCTTGGCATGCTCTCATCCACAAGTTTCTGCACATCAGGTATTAGGACTCTGAAGGATGGGGAAAAGGGAAGATAGAAGAGAAAACAATCCTGAACATGCTAGAACTGCCATGGTGGATACATTGCTTACATCAGCAACCTAAAGGATTTAACCTCTTCTGCTGTGATTTGCCTGGCAAAATCATCAGCATTATGGTTACTTTCAAGTAAAACAAAGTTCAAAGATGAGATTTTCACAGGGTTTTAACAATAATAATTTTTACCAGATTTTTTCAAGTTGTTAATTTTCTACCAAGAAAAAAAAGTTCAAGATTTTCTTTTCTTCACCACTTCTATTTTTGAGCAAAACTCTGAAAATACCACCTTTGGGAAAAGGAAGTGAAGGAGAAAAATTTAAGATTAGGGTTTCATTATATTTTATTGCGACATTTTCAATTTGTAAAAATTTCACAGAAATATTCATTGCAATTCGCAAAAATCAGAACAACCCCCTTATTTCCTTTAAATAGCTCTTTTTGGTTTTTAGCTACAAAAATAGCTCAGCAACTAGTATAACACAGGCATGATTCCATGATCCAGGGAGTCAATGAACCTTTTCCTTGGCTTCAGTGAACTTTGCATCAGAGGCCGTTCTTTCTCACTGCAATCAGCCGCTTGTAACTGCTGCAAATCTGCACTCATTGTAAATGCTTGTGATAAGACAATTGAAAAGGTAGCTGCAACACCGTTGATCTCAAATGCTGGAAATGCTAACAGGCTTTTCTGCTGACAGTGGCACTTATCAGCATCTCTGGAAACTGCACATAAGAAACTTTTAACAGCAGTTACAGCTGACTTTCTGAGCTTTGATGTTTATTCACATCTAAACTTCAAACTAAAATTCAGGCAGTGAAAATTTCCATGAAGTGAAACCACACACACAAAATACCTTATCAGTGCTCTGGAGAATTGAAACCATGGAGTTTGACACAATTGGATTATTGATGTCCTTATCATAATTTGTCATTTATGTCTCTATGATCATATACCTGTCATGTTACCTTCCCTGCATGGCAACTGCCTTCTAAAGGGTGGTTCCTGCTTTGAATCTGTTATGGGAACTTTGTTACTGTTGTACTCAGCTTCTTTGCAATACAAACACAAAATTTTCATCTTGACTAATAATTATTCCTCTCTTTCTTCAGAAACCTCTAAGGTAAATACAGTGTTGGCCAAGGGAAAACAAAGCTGAGCTGCTAATTTCAGTTTAGTGTTTAAATTTCCACTAGAATCAGTTGAAACCATTAGAAAATGAAGAGTCTTGACATAAAAAAGAGGTTGAATGGAATGTTGTCGTAGCACTGAATATCTAAACCTCATGCTAGATAATTTGTACTGACTCCAACCTTCTATCTATTCATCTCTGGTTGTCAGGGCATCACACTTGCTAAAGGAACTTGTCAGGCAAGATGCAGGATGTCAAGATCAGCTTTAACTCAAAACAGCTTTGAAGTGACACCAATCCTTCTTAAACTCATCTTTGATTGGTAAATGTCAGTATATGTCCACAGGCCATTTGTCAGCCATGGATGACTACAGGTTATTTATATTAAATACAGCTAAATTAAATTAGCTAATGGTTACCTTAAAAAGTCAATTCCGAATGGGAACAGGACTGTGTGAGAAATAGATCTTATTTAATCCCATTTGCCTTTATAAACACTCTTTGTATCTGGATTAGATTTCCTGGTTGTAAGTTAGGGAAGATGTGGCTGCGTAGGTGTGATAAAACATTGTGGGACATTTGCAGGTTGTGGCTCCCATTTGTGTTCACAGTGCTCATCAGCCACTGGGATCTTTGTCCCAAGCTGGGATGTCTCTCTTTGGCAGATGGTACCAGGAAATTCTCACCAGCCTGGTAAAGGGGATAGGGATAGATAAATGAAGCTTTTGAAGAAAGTAGCTGAATATTCACTTTGAAAAGCCTCTTCTCCAAAGCAGAGGAGTTAACAAGAGACAGGGAAGGGAAAAGGAGAGCTAGAGACTGCTTCTCTGCAGTGACACCAGTTAAACCTTTGGGCTCTCCAGAAGCGGAAGGACCCTCCATTCAGATATACATGCTTTCCAAGAGCAAAGCATGCTCCTATAAGTGGTTACACCAGTGGTTTGGCCTCTTGAGTTTAGACTAAAAAACTAAGTCGTATATCCAAGTGCCATCCTCTCAGTGACCACAGAGAAGGTCGTAGCAGGAAACTAGACAGATTGGGCTGTGTCAGGTTGCAGCTCCAAATTCACAGCCAGGATAGGTGGAAGGTAAATACATAAGGCAGAGGGGAATGAACTTTTAAAGATTCATACAGCATCTCTGTGTTTGCCTGGTCAAGGTAAGTCAGAGGCATTTGGAACAAAGGTCAGGTCCTATTGCCAGTACTAGCTGACTGTTTATCAGACAGGACTTGGTCCTTTTCTGATAGCAAGGAAGATTGTTAGAGCCAACCTTCCCCATCAAGGTATTGGAGATTGTACCTGTAAGAGATCATATGCTGATCTAAGCTGTCTTTCACCTCCTGCACCAGAGGGGCTGGGACCCTTATGTGCAGGTCTCCCCCAGCCCTGATGTCTTCAGGCAGCAGGGGCTTCCACAAATCCAGCTGTGCAGAGAGGAAAGAAATGCACAAATGAAGCTCTGTTTTCAGAATGAGAAATATATTAGAGAGTTGCCTATCAGCAAATGAAAGAAATTTTCCTTCAAATTGTCCTGATAACTCTCTAGTCATCTGTTCATAGAGCACACAGCACAGGCTTAGTGTTTTTATCGACTCAGGCACCACTGATAAGGAGCAGCACTTTAACAGAGCCATGCAAAGAAACTAATGTCTTCACATAAATTTCTTTGAGTAGTAGAAGGGCAATTCCACACTGCACTAACACCAAAAAAAAAAAAGTAGTTTAAAAAAGCCTTTACTAGTTTTCTTTAACCTTTATTCCTATCATAAGCTATATGCATATCTATTTTACAGGCCAAAACCCCATTCTGCTCATTGGGCACATGTAGTTATTTTAGCTTACCATTAAAGTACCGCAAAGAAGCTGAAGATGCTGGACTTGCTGAAACGTTTCTGGCATAATATGCAAAACCTGATCCCTGAAAATACAGTAGAGAAATAAGGTTAGTTTTAAAGTCTGTTCAAGTATCCATGATTTTATAAGTCAAAAGGATGGATTTTGTTATGTAGAAGGAAAACAGAGCATGTAACAGTGCTGTTCCAACAAAAACACAAATTATGAATTTGTGGAATGTTTTGGCTGCAAGTAGAACTGAGTGATATGACTTTTCTGTTACTAGAACATTAGCCACTCTGCTTCCTTGCCAGTGGCAGTGCTTTATTCACCATACCAACTTCACAGAAGCCAACTGCTGGCATGAGCCCAGTTGTGTGTTTCTGCCTTTGCAGGACCAGGGCCAAAACGAGGATATTGGTAGTACATTATAAACTCTTTATTTGATAAGATGTCACTTTTTTTCTCTCACATTTGGGATTTATTCAATTATTCCAGATTAACTTTTTGCTTGGTTGGTCTATTTCAGCATGTAGAAACTTTTGCTAGTCATGATAAATTAACATTGCTAAGAACTTGAGATGCCCACAAACTGCTTGTCATGAGAATAGCAAATTTATTCCAAAATAGTGAATATTATGGTCTCCAGAACTGCATATTCTTACTCAATTCACATGAAATAAAAATTTCCAGTTCAGAATATAACATTTTCTATTTCTAGAAAAGACACACAGAATCCAGCATCTTAATATATGTTTTCATGAGATCCCATGAAACTTTCATGAAAGATGAAAGCTAGTAGATGATCCCATGAAACATTCATCTACTACATCTACTTCATTTACATCAGATTGAAAATATTTAAACAAAAATATTTAAAATATATAAATATTTTTAAAATATCTCTTCTCCAAATCAGAGGAGTAACAAGAGACAGGGAAGGGAAAAGGAAAGCTAGAGACTGCTTCCCTGCAGTGACACCAATTAAACCTTTGGGCTCTCCAGAAGTGGAAGGACCCTATGTATTTATCTTCCACCTATCCTGATGAAAATATTTAAAGTTTACAAAGAACAAATTAAAATTATGGAAATGCAGGAAAAGCAAATCATGTTTGTTCTGTTAAAAAGGCCCTTGTAGGATTTTTTTATTATTTTTCCAGTGTTCATTCAGATCAGCTTTCCAGGACTGAGAGCAAGGGTGATGTTTCTAGTGGAAGGGTTTCAGAGTGAGGAGTGGATGTTGATGACTACAGTGCATTACTCAAAGGTGGGAGACCAGTTATACAGTACTGATGAGAACAGAATAGAATGAGGAACACTAGAAACTTCCCTATCTGCTAGCAACAAAAAACTGCTTCACAGTCTCTTTTAGAGAGTTCAATGGAGTCTTTACTGGACAAGTGTAAAAAATGAACATTTTACATTTTAAAGCTTTTGTAACAGAAATTCTTGTTGCAAAAGCAAGCCATGGTCATTATAGTCATCAACATAATATGTTCTCATCATCTGAACTGCAACTGCCATCTTTTGTGCTTCCATGCAGGAATGTACAATTATCAGCTTAATATACATACAAATAGAATTCACTATGCATTCACTTTATCCCCAGAAAAATAGGGGGATTTCTGGTTTTTTTTACATCTCCCTTGAAAATATCACCTTTGCTGAGTAAGAACTTGATAGTTAAATCAGGCAGTTTACTACTGGTTTATGAGATGCTGATAGCCCCATATACGTGGGGCAAAATGATTACATTTGTATTGCTCACAGCAATGGTACAACAGTCATGATGTCTTTGTAATAAACCTTGTAGAAGCAGGATAAACATCTTTACTAGCAGAATAAACATCTCAGCTGCAGTTCAGAGTTTATTCTCTGTAAATGCCTAGGCTTGCTTTGCTCTTTGTCTATCAGGAAGGGAAACAATATCCTGTAATATCTTTCTATCCTCATTGACATTATGTCTTAATTATACCAAATCAGAGAAATTCCAGACAGTCAGATTGCTGCCAGATGGCCAGCTCTTATTTACTGATAAATCTTTCACAATAGCCAGTGTGGAGACAAACCATTTTTAATAGTAAACTAAGATTAGAAAGCATACATTTGTTTGTAATTATGGACTAAGTTTCTCATTGGAGAAGTGCAAAGTCAGCCCATGTGACCCCATGAGAACTACAGTTTTTAAAACTCTACAGTTAACGTTTCTTAACAAATTAAAGAACTGTTCTTAGCATAAGCTGTATGTCCTTGGATGCTCATAGGTTGGATATTTCATTTCATTGTTAAACAGAGCAGAGGACAATGCAAATGGGCTTTACTAATAATTTGGTCTTGGTGCAGGTGCTGCACACCCGAAGTCACACCATTCAATACCTGTTTTTAAATTCCATGCAAATACTCAACATGTTCAGTTCTGGACAATAATTAGAAACAAAAATGGAAAATACATTAGCAGGGATCTGCTGAATTCTATTCACTGAAATCAGGCTCTAACTGCATCTCTGATACAAATCTAAAGACTAAATATTATCCATGGAAATAACACATTTGAATTAGAGACTCTGTATGCTCTGCTTGGAGATTCTCCAGGAGAGCTGCTGAATGGGTACACTATGAGGGAACTTACTTGCTGTAGGTATTGCTTGGTTTTCTGTCCTTTTTATGACTATATTCTAGGGATATAATTCATCTAGAGGCATTCAGTACCAGACTACTTTCTCCATTTACTTTGGAAATTTCCATGTATAAACTTATATGTGGATAGGTGGCCTCCAGAAAATGCTCATGCCCAGCCTGCAAATCCTAGCTGCCACAATGGCAGTAACCTATCATTCCTTGAAAGTTGAGGGTGAATGAAACAAAAATAGTTTAGATAGGCAAACAGAATAATTTTACATCACTCATTTTCTGAACTGGCAGGGAGAATGGAAAATAAAGCATAATTAGAGATTTCATACTTTTCAAAACATTAACCTGTAATAAAAAATGTGATAATCTCATCTTCTGAACACCTTGGAGTGAAGATGGACTGGAGTAACTCACTTAGCTTTTTTTTTTTTTTTCTTTGTTTCATATCTCCAACAAGTCCTCACTATGTTTTTCACATAACTTAATCTGTCTTTTATTAATAGATATAATTTTGCTCAGTCATACCCCTTGCTTTATGCTCAGAAAAAGCATTTTACTCCTGCACCATCTGGTTTCAAAGTTCATTATGAAAGAGGCTAAGCCAAATTAATTTCAACTAATGGAAGTAGAGCATCCTGAGATGCATTTGAGGGCCATTCTGTGGCTCCTACAGCTGTAGCTATGTCTTTGTTGGCTTGGATTTGATTCTCTCATTCTTCATTTCCTGTCTTCATGTTTTCTTTCCCAATCTTGCAAAGCTTGCAGCTTAGTAATCCTGTGTCCACTTTTTCAGCTCATAATTGTTATTATTATTCTTACACAATTTCTGTGACTTTCACTGCACACACAATTCTTCATGAAACCCCGATCACACTCACCTGTCATATTGCAATTTCAAGCTGAATTTTCCAGGAATTAGTATCCCCAGAGAAAAGATGATTCCAAGAGGAAGCCACATCTTTGTGCGAAGAATCCAGCACTGACAGTGTAGAACTAAAGAGGAGGAGGACAGACCTGGACTGAACACATGATTTATACAATTATAATATACAACTAGACTTATCCTGGAAGACAGCCTGCCCTTGATGAATCATTAACTTAATTTGTAAATAGTTCTGCTTTTTCTTAATTCTTAAAAGTATCTTCCATACCCCAAAACCACAAACACAATTAGCAACTTTCTTACTGAAACACTTTTTCTAATTACTAACTTTGAAAATGTTTTGTGGCAAAATTGGTAGTATTTCAAGAAAGCGTTACTTGCAAGATCTACGGCAAATCATGGTGGTTAGTTTGGAAGAGCATAAAAACAAGCTCCATTCTTACTCTCTTTCTTTTTGTGTTTGTGCCTTTATGGAACACTTCTGTGACCTCTTAAGTGCAGTTCTGTCACTTTCCTAACTTAAAAGAGGACACAAAAGAACAACCAGTGCTCCTGTAAATGGGAAATATTGAGACATCAGAGTCTCATCTAAACCACTCTCAGTTGGCCCAGATCAGTCTCTGGCCACAGACTTAAAACTCTCATTAAGAGTGTTTTTGTTATATATTAAAAAAAAAAAAAAAAAGTGGGCTGGTTACTATCTGAAATATTTAATGTCTTGTTTAGTTCACATAGCAAGAGTAAACATTTGTTGACTGTAGTTAGACGTATAGCACAGTTCTTCAGAAAGAAATTGTTTCCCTCATCCTCTCTCTTGGATTAAAACTATCTTGTGATTTGATGAAGAAAACTGCATGGATTTGGGGTGCAGAGACTCCAGTAAGTCAGTTTGTGTACATATGTAATGGACATAACACCATGCTGTAACTGTGGGATATTTATAGAGTCTTCTCATCAAAGTATGAAGTCCTCTTACATTTTTACAAAGGCTGTTATCAAGGAAACAGGCAGCAGAACTGTCCCAGTATGAAAGAGGAACAGCTTAGCTCAAAAGTATGTTCTCACAAAACCAGGCTGAAGGCAAGAGAAGAATATGCTCTTTTTCATAAATCACACCAGACCACTTCTGTTTTATTGCAAACTTCTCAACAGCCTGGGCCTGAAAATGCTGAGTATTTCTCTCTAAGTAGATATCCAACCCACAATGACTTCCAGAAGAGCTGAAAGAAGTCAAGTTTATAGAATTAGATGCAGCTTCATTTGTGAGGAATCAGCTAAAGAAATGAATGTTTGAAGTTCCTATTAACACTCAGGACATCTGCTCAGATAGCTTTTGCTTTTGTTTCCTGTGTCTCCACCTCTGCTGGTAGGCAGACTAATGTTTTTAAGACTTCTGCAGTGTTGTCTGTGCCCTTTTAACATACCTGGCTTTGAACTGGGGTTCAGTCCCTTGACAGGGATTCAGAATCTAGGCACAAAAAAAAAATAAAATACGGAGGCATAAAGAGAAAAGGAACAAATTACAATAAGCACTAAAATTCAACTCCAGCCCAAAGCTTCCACCTTCATGTTGAAAGCAGAAGCTGTTTATTCTCTGGTGAAACCCTCACTCCTATGATGCCAAGTAGTTATAAAGATAGATAGATAGATAGCATAATTTTGCTTAATAAGTATCAAATTCAGAAGAAATGACAGTTGCTTTCTAGGTCTTTGATTCAGATTCTTTTGAAGTCTAGTTGATTTTAATGGGTGTTAGATGAAAATCCTGTGCAAATAATTACGGACATTTCTCCGATTTAAGAAATGGACTTATTTTGGGGATTTCAGGAGAAGGTTTGTTTGTAAAAGACAATACTTCATCTTGCAAACAGCACTTCTGAATTCAGAATAAAAGCCATTAGAGACATTATTCCACCAGCAATGCAAAAAAAATGTCTTGGGATGAACAGTTGACTTCAACAAGACTATTGCCCTCTTGGGCATAAATAATGTGTCTCTCAGTAATAAAGTCTGTTCTTTGGTCAGGTTCTTACTGGCAGCTGCTTATCTTTCTAGCAAATGTGGAAGGCAGCTTAATCCATTTATTCCCTCCTTGATAATAGTGAGGAAAAAGGAACGGGACATTCTGGGGAGAGAAAAGGTCATAAATATGTGGTACAAACATGCCACATGAAACCACATGATGTCCTTTTCTCCAAACAAGTTTACTTTGCACATCTTCCCTACATTCTTCTCAGGGCTTCAGTGCACTTTTTTCAGCATCAGTTTAGCCTCTCAACTGCCCTGTTAGACAAGCAAATATTATTTCCACTACTTAAAAGATTAAGAAAAAAAGGGGAAAAAGTGACTCCCCAAGGTGACATAGGAATATTGCTGCAGAGCCAGGAATAGAATTCAGATCTCCTGACTCCCTGTCTGGTGCTTCCTTAAATATATGACCATCTGCTGTACTGCTGGAAGTATAGATACTATATGCTGACTCCAACAAGCTGGCTGCTAAGCCTGTTAGTTTATCCTCTTTTTATCCCATACTGATATCATCTCCAGCTAAGCTTTTGGCCTGGAGTCAAAGTGATTTCCAGTGTTTGAATGATTCGACCTGCTTGTTATTGTTTTAACCTTGCACCACACATATGCTCAGCTATTTGTGACTTATCTGCATACAGTCTGTGTAGCAGCAGCCACAAGCTAGAACTGTTTTGTTTAAAGATTGCATACTGAAGCATACCACATGTTTTAAACAATTATCATATAGCAATGAGTTTGATCCTGGTAGCTACCTGCACCTAGATTCCCTACTGCATGTCACTTTCAAGGACAAAGAGCTCGTTAAAAAGACAACAAAATGTACACACTTGTGTGTCTCCACAAACATCAGTTCATCATGTTAAGCTTTCCCACTTCACAGCTAAATGGCATACTGAAACTAAAAACCTAACTAAACTAGATTGAATTAAAAACTATCAACAGTTTTTCAAATCATCATTTGGATTCAGAGAAAATAATCCTCCATTAAATTTTCTTCTCTCTCATTGCTGCAGAAAACTCACCATATGTGTCCAAAACAGAATCATCACTCAGTGGAGTCAAAACAGTAGCAGACTAATGTGCCTTAAATCCTAGACTTCAGCTCCACTGAAGAGGGGGGTAGATAATTCACCTATTTTACTAAAATATCTTCTGGTTATTACTGTAATTTTACTTGGGGGAAGCACACAATGAATTGACAGGTCTGTCTCCGTTGTCTTGTCAGAGGAGATAGAATGTTCTATAGGTATTGTCTTTTTCTAGGAGTACCAAAAGATTTCTGGTTTTATGTGTTCAAAACATTCCAATTCATTCTACAAGTTTTTATATACACATACATACATACATACATACATACATATATATATGTAATTCTGTAGCATTTGTGTATTCAGGAATATGTGGTGTGGTCTGCAGTGTGAATCATTGTTCCACTCAGTATTCCAAGCCTTCAGCTTCCACAGCTCCGTTACAGAAAGGTTTTACTGAAAGTCTCTGGACTCCATTGTGATTTGGCAGTGCTAAGTGTTCTCAAACATCATTAGTTCCAGCAACAATCTTAGGATAAATGGAAATATACTGGAAACCATGCTGAGTGACAACAATTTCGTTCTAGAGTCATCTTGCCGACATTTCTTTGTCCTCTCTGTCTCTGATATTACAATAAAAACACCCCATTAACCTTACATTTGGGACTTTAAAATAATCACAAACCAGGAAGAATTCCAGCCAACATACACCAGATTAGAATTAAATTACTAGCAAACCTTAAAATTAGTTCCATTAAGCCAACATTAAATGTCCTGCAGACCATCAAGCAACACAGGATACATAAGCTTTATCTTAGTGGGATTAATTTGACTATTGGCACATGATCTAGCAATTTCAAGAAATACACATTTACAGACACTTTCAAGGATGTCTCAATAGATTTTACAGCATTTATGGACATGCATATTTGTACTCATATATTTGAGAACAAGTGTAATAACCAGCATGTTGTATCAGTATGGAAAATAACACCTGCCTTTTCTCCACAAGTCCTGTGATACAGCTTTTGGACAGCTTTCCTATCAGAAAGGAGCTTCAAGCACCCATTCAGTAAGCAGCTCTTTATGGAAGTGGATGAAACCAAGCTGACAAAACCTGTATTGGTCTAATTAGCTAGACAGACCAGCTTCCTGAAACACCATTTTCTTTAACCAGGAAATAAAAATGTTAGTACTGAATTGTCCTTCCTTAACAAAGGATGGCCTGAATGATTATTTTTACTTCATCCTTTAGACAGCAAAATATCACTGCTTAAGGATCTTGACCTTTAACATACAGTCTGAATCCAAGATGATATTTACCACATGTTACTCAAAGGTAACAAATTCTTTTGGTTCTATATTAGGAGTTAAGGGTGATCATGTTTACAAGGAATTGTGCACAAAATCCTACAATCCTTATGTAAACACAAATCCTATGGGAAATGATTCTTCATAAGCATTGTGCAGTCAAACTTTAAAAAGTATTAGCAGTGCTTTCCAGGTGCAATGGTAAATCGCTGAACCCCAAGTCCACATATACAAGGCTGGCTGCAGATTATTTTTCTTGTAGTTTGCTCAAAGATTCAATTTGCTCAAAGATTTTAATATGCTTGAATCAACTGTCAGAAAAAGAAGTTATTTTTTAACTCACCTTCTCCAGTCCTAAAAATTTTCCTTTATAAGAATACCTTCTGATGACAGGATTAGAACTCATGATTTCAAAGGTGTTGCTCTAGGGGGAAAGAATCTGCAGAAGTGTTTGATCCTGTGTTGTTGTTCTGAGTGGGCAAGAATTAAGCAAAAATCCTCTATTTTGTGAAGAAACAAAACATGTTGTAAAGCTTTAGCTGTCATAATAATGCACTTTTTGTTTTAATTGGGTCTTTTTACAGAAGATGTCATGTAACATTAAAAATCTGGCTTGTATTTTTAAATATAATAATTACCTCTGTATGTAAATAAATTAGTATTATAGTATTCCTACTAGCAGAATTGTAAAGGACATCACATAAGTCTCCATTATTGCTTAACAGTTAAAAAACAAGCTTACTGCACTGTATCCTAGAATAGCCAAGATTATTT